TCTCTTTGTCATGCTGAAGGTGACAGTGACCCCCAGCATGTTGCGTCGTCCGGGGCTTCTTCGTCGGGCCCAAACGATCTTGGACAGGAGCTTTGCCTCTCTCGTTGGGAATCAGACCGAGGCGCTCCAAGACTGGCTTCCTCCTTTGGGACGATTCTGCATAATCTCCCGGAGAAGCTATTGGGATTACCGGTGACTTTGGTTGATTCACCGGAGGTTGAACTTTGGTTGGAGGTTGCTTCGGCCTCCACACTTGGCGGGTTGATGGCGGCTTCTTGGCCACCTTTTCTTTCTTCAACTCCTCGGCCTTCTGCACGAGGATTCTTGCTTGTGCAAGCAGTGCACGGCGTTTGTGAATCCGCTCTTCAAGTGTCGAACGGTTCCGTTTGACCCGGATCCATTCGTTCGTTGGCGGCTTGGAGGAACTGCCATTCTTCAGTTGTTGAGGCTGTTTGCCTCTCCTATTCGTCAGATCCGCGTTGTAGCGGACTCCGTCCGTAGACTCCATCGCCTTAGCGAGTTGTCGCGCAAGGCGCTGACGTCGCCTCTGGCGGGCTCTCTTTGAGAGAGTCACAACGCCCTCAACAGTAGAAGCGTTGACAAGAATATGTTTGACCTCGTTGGAGGTCGGTGGAACTTCATCTGACGCTACTTTGGCGTCAGCCGGGGTGAGAGCTTCGTTGGCGTTCTGAAAACTTTTCGAAACCAACGAGCTTTCTCCTGGGAGGAGAGCTTCTATGACTTGCGGGGGGAGCGTGATGCGGACGAGACGAAAGGTACTCCTCGAAACTTGCCTTGGTCGAATTCATTACGTCGACCTCTCCATGACCGCGAATGAGATCCGCGACTGCGACGTTCGATCTCCAGGCAGCAGATCGGCGGCTCCCCACTGTCGGTCGCCAGATTGTTTCGCGGTGGTGGGAAAAATCGTTCTTTCTTTGTATTGATTCCCGATTGCCATCTTAGATTTAAAACCAGCGGTTTTTGAGCTTACCAAAAGATCCGGTCTTTTTATAAGATCCGTTACAATGAACTAAGAAGAAAAATAAAACAAAAGAATTACAAACTTTCTCCAATTCGCGGCGGTGTACTGTCGACAAATACGAGCTCCTGTTTTGGCGTGGTTGGTGTGGTGTTGGCTTGTTGTTGTTGTGTTGCGTCTTGTGTGGGTTCTTCGGCGCTGCCGGGTCCGGTATCCGAGGTACTCTATCCTCTTGATCTAGATCGTCTGATGATCACACGATCGTGACGGGTATTATTCCTCTAAATAATATAAGCCGAGGGGACTATCTTCGCTATAGTTGGAAATTAGTAGCCTGAGATCGTCGGCGGATCAAGACCATATATCCGAGTGATATTCGGATAATCAGGATCCGATCGTTGTACTCTCCTCGAAATCCTGCCTTTTGTGACGTTGTTGTGGTGGACTTCTTGGCGGGAGCATATGTCTAGTATGATTCTGATATCTCAATGCCCAGATTCTTCGAACTCCGGTGTGTGGGAGCTCAATCTTCAATCCGGACAGGGTGTGTGTGGGTGTGTCTTGTGTAGTAGCTTTCTCTCAAAGTTCCAACCCTTTGAAATGAAACAAGGCGGGGGCCCTATCTATAGGACTCCCTTCACTGTGCCGGGCACAGATCTGCGCCACCCAGGGTGCCTCGGCTTGGCCGAGCCACCCTGAGCGCTGGCTCGGCCCGCCGAGCCACGCCTGAGGTGGCCGGCCCGCCGAGCACCGCGCAGAGTGGCCCACCTCAGGCCGAGCCCCCCCTTGGTGTTGGGTTCCGTCGTGTTTTCGTCTTTCGGTTCTGTCCATGATTCGGTTGATTCAGACTCTGATCTGATTTGGCAGTAAGTCGGATTCCTGATTTGGCAGTAAATCGGATTCCTGATTTGGCAGTAAATCCACTTCTGAGTTCGAGTCCGAAACCGATCTTGATTCGGTCGTGATTCATCCGAGTCCGCTCTTGTTTGGATGACTCATTGACTCCCCGAATCGTTGGCTTAATTCCGCACGCGAATGGATGCATTCCGTTGCTCGCTTGCGATTCGTCAACTTTGTCGCCTTATTGGTTCGTCGGTTTATGCCGAGTTGTGCTAGGGGATCTATAAGCAATTTTATACGCCTACAACCGCAAACTGATACAGCCAATATGACAGGTTTTTGGGCAGATTTGAAAATACTTTAAAAATAGTAAAACAATTCCAAAAATAATAAAACTTGGGAAAAGTTTCTAAATGATAAAATGAACATGTTAGTAAAAGAATTTTTGGAAAAATAATTTTCGTTTGCAAAAACACATTGTTTTTGAAGAGTGTTCGTAAAACCTGTATTTTACGAATATGAAAATTTTGATATGACTCATAAATACGTATATATATACCCTGCATACGTTATATATATAATAGAGTATGAAAGAGCTGTAAACATGAAATAATAGATATTGTAACAATGTTTGATGAAAAATCATTTATATGATAGAAAACGTCAAAAATCGTGTTAAGTGTACATATATTGAGCTTAAATATAAACATATAATATATGTAAGTAAACTACTCTTATACCTAGGTAATTCCACACATATGAACTTGAATCTTTAACGCTTGATTGTCGTATGTTGAAATACCTGTAAAGAGAAACATAACAACAAAACTAGAGAATATATTAGTGATAAATTGTTTGACAAATCATCATCAAAACTATAGGGTCAACATGAAGCAGACTTAACAACCTCGGCCTCTTCTTCCGAATCTAATTTCTCATATTCTTCATCGGACTCAACAAGTTTCTTCTTACCCTTCGAAAAAGATTCCTCCTTTTTGTTCCCTCTATTGATGAGACCCACAAGCTGAGTAAGAGTAGTCCCGATCGTTTCTATCTGCTTCTCCATAGCGTCAAGTCTTGCTGAGTTATCTGCTTCAGACATCTTCTCCTTCCTTATCTTCTGGACTTCTTCCAAGGAAATAAGGATCTCGCCAAGCTTCTTGTATTAGGATCGAGTAAGGACCATACACAGGATGCCTCCTCCTCAGGATCTGATCGGCTCTGATACCAACTTGATACGAGTTGCCGTACGAGCACCTTTGATCGCGGAATTATCAAAGGTGGGTAGAGGAAAAAACAATAAGAACACAAGAATAACTTAGGTTTTAGGCGAAGGAAAATACCTTCTCTAGATTATGAGTATACACTTTACAATCTCTCAGAATCTCACTCTAGAATTGAAGTACATGCTCTCCAAATCTCAATTACAATTTAATCTCTCTTGATTAAACTCTCTGATTATTTTAAACCCTAAAACAATCCCTTATATAGGTGTACAAACGAGGGTGGCAAAGTGGTAAATAACCAAGCCCAACCCAAACAGGAAAACATGTAAATAGAGTCCTTAATGAATCTGGAAAACTTCGATGAGTCGACTCATGAACAGTTATGAGTCGACTATTGACCTCATATGAGTCGACTCATAACTGATGAGTCGACTGGTCAAAAACTTTTGCTAACAGGACTTAATTTCTTAAGTCGACTCAAAACTGTATATGAGTCGACTCATGACTGATGAGTCGACTCATAAAATGATGAGTCGATCGAACAGAAATTTTTGACAAAACGGCGGCACTTCGTGAGTTGACTCATGACAGGCATGAGTCGACTCAACCTGATGAGTCGACTCATGTACATGTATGAGTCGACTCACGAGCTGAAAACTGGATTCTTCGAATCTGCTGCTCGTCGTCTCGTTCCACGCTCCAACCTGCATTCCCCTGTACTATTTAACACCTCTATTCTCATGCTATCATGAGAATCATCTATCCTTAAGCTCCCATGAGGATCACTAAGTTCCAAAGAGAAGATACACCCATATCAACTAAGAATTCATAATGTCCGTATCTCGTCTGAAACGTAGTCTTGGGGACATCCGAATCCCTAACCTTCACCTGGTGATACCCGCTCCGCAAATCCAGCTTAGAAAATACTCCCGATCCTCCCAATTGATCAAAGATATCATCGATATGGGGAAGTGGATACTTATTCTTCACTGTCATCGCATTCAACTCCTAATAGTCGATACACATCCGCTGGGATCCATCCTTCTTTCCCACAAGCAACACAAGTGCTCACTAGGCCGATACATTGGGTCGAATCAAGCCTCTCTATAAAAGATCATCCAACTAAGTCCGAAGCTTGGCCAACTCATCTGGAGGCATACGATAAGGGGTCTTGGAGATCGGAGCAACTCCTGGCTTCAAATCTATGAAAAACTCAATTGCTCGAACCGGGGGCATTCCGTAAATATCATCGGGAAAAACATCTTCAAATTCTCAAACTACATCTAGCTTCTCAGATTCCACTTGCATTGCAGCTAACGTCGCCTTCTTCGGTCTAGCTCTGTACTCTACAGGTCCGACTGATGTGCTGCCACTAAAGAACTCAAACCTCGGGTGATCTGGTATCTCAAATACTATACTCCGACGGCGATAATCATTGGTGGCAAAGAATGACCCTAACTAATCTATCCCAAATACTGCATCAAAGCTCGGCAATTCAATCACTAGAAAGTCTACAAAGAGTTCCCTCCCGCAGATGACCACAAGGCATGCTTCATAACCACTGGATGCTACTAAGACACCACTGCTAGTGTTGATATTCTAGCCCATAGTCAGAGGAGTTATAGGAAGAGAGTGGGCACTCGCAAATCGACGAGATAAGAAACAATGGGAAGCTCCAAAGTCAAATAGTGATAAAGCAGGAACAGAAGAAACAAGAACCTTGCCTATTATAGGAGGATGTAAATGCAACTAACTTAGTACTCATAAACATTCTTATCATGATATTATCAGGTAATGCTAAATAAGGAGGTTCATATGTAAATAAAACTAAGATGAACAATTTTTACCAGTGATAACCTAGTCGTTCGCCTCAGCTTCTACGGCTGACATCATAAACATATGTTGTTGTGGTTGCTGCCTTTGTGCTTCCTGATAAACTTGCTGCTGTGGAGGAAGAGGCCCTGCTCAAGGATAGGATCTATGCTGAGGCGATGCTGCTGGGGTCTAGGGCTGGTCGAGGTGGTGCTGGGAGAGCTGGCCTAACTGGAGGTGGTGGTAAACTGGCCTGCTGCCGCTGCGGACAGTTCCAACTGATATGATCGGGGGATCCACAGGCATAGCACAAATGAAGATGCATGCGACATTCCTACTGGGTATGCCCAGTGTAGCCACAATGGGTACACTTCACCGAAGGCTGACCATGAGACTACACTCCAGGGTGCTGATAAGGGTAAGCATGAGGGGGTGGCTGACGCTGAGAATGTTGCTGCCTCTAGGGGGCCTGCTGTTGCTACCTCGGGGAAGGACGCTCGATAGTCCTAGCTGGAACTACTGGTGCCCTATTCCGTATGACATTGGATCTTCAGGTTCCTTCTGCATGCTCTCAATCTCACGTGCTGCATCCAGTACTACATCGTGCGTCGTAAGTGCTCTACCAGCCAGAGCAAACCTAATTTACTTATCCAGACCCTTCTGGAACTGATGCCTCCTAATGATAGGGTCTGTAACCAGATGGGGAGCATATCGACTTAGGGAAGAGAACTCGGCCTCATACTTATCAACTGATCGGCCTCCCTGCTTAAGCTCAACAAACCTACATAGAAGTTCATCCCGAGCTGACTGAGGAAAGTACTTCCTGTTGAAGCGCTCGGTGAACGTCTCCCACAGGATGGGCCTCTCTAGATGAGTCTTCACAACTACCCACCATATCTGAGCAGTATCAGTGAGCTGAATATCCATAAGGTCCACCCATTCAGCAGGGGCAATACGGGTCACCGTGAGAATAGTCTCAGTGACCTTCAGGAACTCCTCCGCTGTTAAGGGTCCTTCAGTACCAGAGAAGGAAGGCGGTCGCATGTACCGGAACTCCCTAACACTAGACTCTATGTGAGAGGGAGGTTGATGCTGAGGCTCCCTATGCAACTACCCAGCCAGGTGCTACTGATTAGTGACCAATCCCTGAATCATCGCCAAAAGTTGGTTCAGGCCCACTTCGAGCTGCGAGGTACTGCTACTAGATGGGTTACTATAGCCACACATACCCACCATGGTTCTGAAGGAAAGCAAGGATCAAGAGGAAAACTAAGGTTAAAATCAATACAAATATATTGGGAAAATAGGAACTAAAACATAGTTATTAAGATAATAGTATAAGAACTTAATTGCAGTCGTACGGATAAAATATGATGTAGGCATCGAAAACTGCCTATAGGTCTCCACAAATGGTTCAGTGTTAAAGAACGATGATGAACGTCACTATTCGATCCACAAGAGTCTAATTAACGTCGACGAATGACTGAAGTGAATCGACGAGCTACGTGAGCTGATAGGATTTCGGAACAACGAAGACCCGGGCCAATCGGAAACCCGGCGATGTTCACAAAAAGGACAATGCCGACAACGCCCTTCATGCCTCGATCACTCTACAGAGGGTCCAACCACCAGAGCGGATCGAACTCTTCGTCAAGCATCCAACGCACTTGGAATCACTCAAATCTGAGTTCGGACGAAGAATCTATAGGGAAAGCAATTATACACCTAAAACGGAGTCACGGCGAGTCGAAGCACCCCGGGGGTGTCTAGGAAAAGCCTAGACACCCCAGGGGTGTCTCGGCCAAGCCGAGACACCCCAAGGGTGTCTCGGCCAATCCGAGACACCAAGGGGTGTCTAGGCCCCCTAGACGTCCCCATTTGCCTATAAATAGCACCCCTTACCTCATTTTTCAAGATGAGGATTTTTGGGGAAGATTGGTGAAGCCCTGCTGCAGTGAAGAGTGGTCGTGCGCTTCAACAAGGAGAGGAGAGGTCTTCATCAGAGCCTTCATCACCCGTTCCCCCCTTTCCTTAGTATTACCCTTCGCCGGTAATCACTAAGAAGAGCTGATATCTCGTTTTAGCCGAGATAGACGCTTCAGGCTTCTAGATCTCACGCGGATCGACGAAGCTCTGTCCGATTTTTTTGGAACAGATCTGAGTGCCAGGTGGTCCACGGATATTGATGTCCCCGTCACAGGCAAAAGACCCACGCAAGCAGAAGACCGATAAACGATCTCTGCGTTTGTTTGGACGAGAGTTGTAACCTTTTGTTTTCATTGTGTAAAAGGTCTTATAAAAAGGCAATCTTTTTTTTATTTCATTGTAACGATTGACGTTGTAATGAATACAGCAATGAATACAACAACTTTCCCCGCAAACAAGCTGGCGACCACAGTGGGAGCCAACGGCATCGCTACCGAGGCCGTCGTGACGCAACCGGCATTCAAGATCCGGGTGAATGAAGAGATCGAATACGAGTTCGATCAACAAAAGTTTAAAGAGGACCTCTCCTCCTCCTCCTCCAGATCCGCCTCTCCGAACAGGTGCAGAAAGGTAACTTCTTCAAGAAATGTTCGCAGGACCTTCGGCTCGAAGATCCAAGATCCCATTGCCGCCGCTGCACTTGCACCACGTGACGTCCCCGCGTCGTCCAACGTGGTCGAGACCACAGATCCGGACTTCTCCTCCGCCGAGGAGATGGCTACTGAAGACGCTCCAGCATTGTCAAAGAGAGCACCAACAACGGCGAACAACCAACCCCTCCTCCAAAGCAGAAACGAACAAATGGGTTCGTGTCAAAAGAACCCATTCTACTCTCGAGGAGCGAATCCAGAAGCGTCGCGCCTTGCGTGCGCATGCCCGGACCCTTGTGCGAAAAACACAAGAAACGCAAAGGGAAAAGGCAGTTAAGAGATCGCCGAGATCCAAACAAGTCTGGGTGCCAAAGGCCAAACCAGCGCCTAAGGCAAAAGCAGGCGACGTAGCTCTCCGGCCTTCGTCGACTTCAGATCCTGAACCTCCTTTAAAGCCCCATCGCGGCATGGATTTCCTCAAGTTTAGGAATCCTCTGAACAATCGTATCGGTGCTCTACCCGAGAATCGGGGAAAAGCGCTTGTTAAGGAAAGCCCCAGATCGTTGAAGGAGCTTCGAGCCAACATCCGGATTGGGGGTCGTACGCGACCTCCTAACAAATTGAGTGCTGCGACGACCCGCTCGGCGGTACATGCAAAAAATCAGGAGCCCGTTAAGGTTTCACCCTCACAAAGGCGTGATTCCAAACGTGTGACTCCTGTAAATGCCAACAAGGTAATGTTTACTCAGAGGAAAACGCGTCGGACAGACGAACGCGTTATACCTGAGAACCCATGTGAGCAGCCGATAGGTTACTCCGACCGCAACGTCGATGAGTTGTACTATCAGGCTGGGGGTGCGAATGAATCTCAAAAGAGAAGTACCCAGGAAGCAGACTCTCACTGTCCGTGTATCAAATTTATCAGGGCAGTATTATCAACGTGTAGCTGCCCCAAGACCGCTCCGCAGAGGGCCTCGATATTCGAGAGAATCTCCAATGGAACGACGAAGCCCAAATCAGGGTGTTTCCACCAAAGAGGATCGGTTGCTCGAGATGATGAATTCCCAGAAGTTACTATCAACATGGTCAACAAGGAAAAATCTCCAATTGTTTCAAGTGGTTCCTACCCTAAATTCTCTCTAGGAAGCAGGGTCAATTCGAGAATAGCTCAGCTTCAGCTAGAAGCCGTCGGATATAACGACGACCATGGGATCCATGAAGAAGTCCATTCCGATAATGAACTCTCAGATTCTTATTCCGCTCTCGCCTCTGACGATAGAACGTCTAGCATAGGGCAAGCTCGAGAAGTGTTCATGGTCAACACCGAACAGATAGCCAAAATCATTGAAGAGGCCCTGGCTAAGCAGAAGGAAATCTTCAAGTTCGAAATGGAAATGGCTATGCAAGAGATGAGACAAATGCATGACCAACAAATCCGAGCTTTGTCAAATCAGCTAGTTGAATCCAGCCGTCGTACCCAGAACGCCGCAGTTGATAGCGATCCGGAAGTGGACGAAATCAGATGGTTCGGTCATTCGTTGGCACCCTTCGCGGGCCTGCTTTCGATTGGTACCGCCGTCTCAAGCCCGGAAGCATCAACAGCTGGGAGGACCTGGAAAGCGTGTTCCTCGCTCATTTCTTCGATGATGACACTGAAGTGTCGGTCAGGACACTCTTCGATGAGAAACAAAAAGGAGGAGAGTCGGTGGATACCTTCATCAAACGCTTCCGCAATCAGGCAATGAACTGCAAGGATCCCGTCACGGAGGAATTCATCTTGCAGACTTGTCATAACAACCTGTCCATTAACGTCTTGGACGTTATGGGAGTAGAGCCGCTCAATACCTGGAAAGAGTTAAAGGTGCGCGGAGAACAGGCCGAACGCTTCCTCAGAAGGAGGAAGCTCGAAAGAAACCAACCGATGGTCAACCCTCTGGATTCAAGTCTCGTGTCCCATGATGAAGAGGAGGCACCTACAACAGTCGTTGACGTTAATCAAATGTCACAACACCAGTCTCGAAGACAGCAGAAGACTTCGGATCGAAAGGCCCAGGAAGAGTACTCGTTCAACGACGAAGACATTCCCGCCATCTTCGAGTCTCTTCTCGAAAATAACAAAATCAAGCTCCCTCCCATCATGAATCAGGAGGAAGCTGACAATCCTGCAGATCCGAAGTACTGCGCGTACCACAGGAGGATCCTCCATCCCACCAAGGATTGCTCTGCTCTCAAGAATAGCATTCAGACCTTGGTCGAAGCCGGCGTTATAACGCTAGGGTAAGCCAATTGAGAACCCCACCACTCCAAAGAGTATACGAGTATAAACTGTTTCTCAATACTCCGACAAGTATAAGAGTATAAACTGCTTCTCAATCCTCCAACAGGTGCATGAGGTTAAACTGCTCCCTACATACTCCAATAGGTATATGAGTCTAAACGGTTTCCCCACTTTTGACGGGAAGTTCCTGGAGGATATTACGCTAATATTCTTAAGGATAACCCAGTCAGATAATGGAGAATAATATCCGAACTAGTTCCGCAGAGGAAGCTGGGGGTGGATAATTCGTGTAACGGGAAGTTCCCGAAAGAATGTTAACACTCTTAGGGATAACCCGATCATTACAAACAAAATGATAAACACTAAACCCCACTGTGATTTGTACGAGTCAACACTCTCGATGTGATTTGTACTCCTACTCTAAACCCCACTGTGATTTGTACGAGTCAACACTCTCGATGTGATTTGTACTCCTACTCTCACTGTCTACCTGGTCAAACCTTCCTACAGTTAGGACCACAGTCAAAATCCCCTCTCGATTCTCCCAATGAACGAGAGGTCCACTTTCAAAATCGAGTGATCAAACCTTCCTACAGTTAGGGTCATCTCAAACTCCTGCTTGGTCAAACCTTCCTACATTTAGGACCACAGTCAAAATCCCCTCTCGATTCCCCCAATGAACGAGAGGTCCACTTTCAAAATCGAGTGATCAAACCTTCCTCAGTTAGGATCGTCTCAAACTCCTGCTTGGTCAAACCTTCATACAGTTAGGACCACAGTCAAATTTCCTTTCCAGCTGTAGATAGAATATAAAATTCTTCCTCTTCAGCACCGGGAGATAGAATATAAAATTCTTCCTCTCCTATTTCGGGTTCGTCTTTGCCCCAAGAGAAGACACCACCTTTTTCAAATCCTAAAATCCATGCCTTTTATGCATGGGGAATTTTATCCCGAAGCCTAAGTAAGGATAAGTCAACGTCTAATACACGTTGCCGGGTAGCCTATTCCCGTAACAATGGCGAAGTATATGTATTCAAGATCATAGCGTTAAGTCTAAGAGAAGCAATTCTCTTAGCACAACGTTACATGTGAAACGGGTTTTAATAATTCACATGCTAGCCCGATTCAAACGGTAATCGGTAAAGGCACGTCAAACTCGTTGATGGCTGGGGGTTTGCCAAAAATCCCAA